TTCATCCCGCCCCTCCCTTGTACCCGTAGAGAAGAGGTACGGCATGGGTGCCGCAGACCCGAGTTGTGTAACCCTGGGCTCTTCCGTCGTTGATCCTGAATAGCATCGGTCCTCCTAGCCTTGTCGCAGCCGCCCCTGCTTGCCGGCAGTCCCCTCTGTAGATAGGCTTGCGATGGAAGGAGTGCCTAACTTTACTTGGAAGGCTTGGCTTGCAGAGGTTAATGAGGATCTTAATTATGGATCGTGTGAGGTTCCTTCTTTGCACGTTTTTTCTCCCAAGCAGGTAGAGCTTTCTGGATAGTTGTCTGTTTTAGGATGACATATTGCAAAGGACAAATCTGGAATAAGGGATGGCCTGCTAAAAAGAACGTTAGGTTAAGAAATTCCTTGTAAAAGGAAGAAAAACCTTAGCAGGTAATGCTTAAGTATGTCTTAAGCATAGCCCCTTAATTTCTGATAAATCAGTTCTGAAGGTGAAGAAAATTGCCTTAAACATCTGAATGTGTATAACCTTCAGAGAAATGTCCTTAACTTTATTGAGTGTACCATTCACTTAAAGTATATGTAGTCAACTCTGATGCATTAATTGCCTTATTTAATGCTTGATTTAGGGTGCATTTTTTAGGTATTTTTGTCTTAACTCAGTTCTTCTCAAAGTAGAGATTTCTGCCTATAAACGAGGTACAGTCATATTTTATGCTCTGGGTAGCATTTATCTAGTTTTGCACCAAATGCCACTGAATGGAGAATGGGGATAGGTTCTGTATCAGATGCCTTGTTAAACAGCTGCATTTTACATAGTTACACATTTTATTGCATAGTTACATGTGGTGTTTTGAAAGCAAAAGGTGTTTTTGTGGAATCCAGTGAATTTGACCTCTACATTTCATTAAAAAGCTTATACCAGAAAATATTGGCAGACCTCTTAATCAGAAACATCTATTGTCATCTCTCAGTGATACATCCTTATTGAAGCAGGGGGCTGTTCTTTGTGACATGCAAAAGAACATATCTTGATGAATAATTAGCTTCTGGGGTCTCTGAAGTAGCTGTCCAAGCACATTAGAATATCTGCTAGAATGAAGTTTACCACTTAAAAAGCTAATGTTTCCTAATCATTCTCTTGCATATTTCACTGTACTGCAGAATACTGTTTTTATATTCTTAACTACAAGTGATTCAAGGCTTTAGAATGGTTAAGCTAATAGAGAAGAAAAGAATCCTATTATAGGCTAGTGTTGCAGTGTTATATTGTTCTATGGATACGCATGACATATTCCAAATTGAGCAGTTTTCAGGAATGAAACCTTACATCACTGTTGGCTATGTTTTCAGTTACATGAAGGACCAATGCATTCTTATTTGTACCTAGCTTCAGTACTGTTGGAAGACTTAATGGGTATTGGAACTGGTAGAATAAAAATTCACCATTTAAAATTATTTTCCTAAAGGGATTTTATCACACACTGATATTTGGTGTCCTGGATATTGAAGCCATTTATAACATTTATGTTTCCAAGCTTCTCCTGGAAAAATCCGTAAAAATAGTTTTTGAGCCTATGCCTTGAGGCTTACAGTCTAAGAGCAATGAAGATCTGGCTCTTCACCCAGGCCTTCAGCGAGGGAGAGTGAAACTCCTCATGGAAAGTGAAACTCCTCACTTCATTGTGCTTGCCATCTTTTATGTTTTATTGGTTTTATTGTAAAGTCTTTGTGAACCGCCCAGAGTCATTGAGAGTCTGAGGCATACAAGTTCAATAAATTATTATTATTATTAAGGTATTATTATTAAGGTATTTAACTGGGAAACTGTGAGCATCCTAGACGAAGCTAAATCCAAAAATGCTAGGGAATTCCTGGAAGCTTGGCATTCAGACAAATCAGCCAT